AGAGAGAGAGAGAGACAGACAGACAGACAGACAGACAGACAGACAGACAGACAGACAGAGACAGACACAGACAGACAGACACAGAGAGTGAGAGAGAGAGCGAGAGAAAGAGAGAGAGAAGGGGGAAGGGGAGGGTCAGAGGGAAAACAAAAAAAGAAAGTAGGAGATAAAAAACGGCAATATCATAATATGTATGGCAGATCACGAGACAAATGGACACACAAAAGATAAACTAACAGATAGACAGATGGACTAGAGGATACATACGATAGGACAGACATACAGATGAATACCGACGGGACAAACTTCCAGAAGAAAAGCAACAGAAGGCGACACTCGTAATACTCCGAGCAGTGAAGCAAACTTGACATCCTAATCAAGACTTCTCTCGCGACGGTGGCAGAGCCGCTGATTTGAGTGAGTAAAGAGAAGCACATAGACACGATAACGGTCATTTAGTGAAGGGAAAAAAGCAAGATAGATAGTACAGAAAGATGAAAGGGAAAAAAAAAAGAAGTAGGACCTACCAGTGGCGCCCTCCAACCAACCGCGAACGAACCGTTGACTAAACATACCAGAATACTAAAGTCCAACGTTCGGTCCCGAAACCAATTTTCCTCCCCACTCCCTCCTCCCCCTTACCCTTCTTTGAAAACATAGGCTCACATCCATTACATGTGATTCTTTTCGCTGAGCAAGCGAAACTACAATTAAGCCATATTCTGAGGATAGCAGGGTGTTAGTTCTAACTTCTAAAAACACAAAGTATAAAAATAATGGGCAAGTAAGACTAACTTCAGCCAACAAAAACTATGGCAAAGAACGAGCAAACAAGTTTCAACAGCAGCACCTGTAACGAACAAAACTGAACCTCGGCAAAACGTTAGTGGAACACTTTGTCCGTCAACAGACAACGCGCCGTTCTTGTAGAACTATCTATGTGGGGTGTACTCTTATACGACTCTCCACCCCCACCCCCCCTTCCGTGAAAGGTCTTGAAAATGTCGGCGAGAAAACTGGTCGAATATCCTGTAGTTAATCCAGTTTGGGCCCAAATTAACTCAATGACGCGAGACGTGCTTTTACTCTTCTGAACGTCAAGCCGTGACGCCTAATCTCTTGGTTGTGACAATATGTTGCCCCCCCCCCCCACTCCCCCTGTCTCTAAGAGAGATCTAATTCTTACAAA